GGGCGGAGGACTTGGGGGTCTCCTGGGAGTTCGTTGGCGGTCTCGGAAGGTCTCTGTCAGACGCCTACGGCGAATCACCGCCGCCCCTTGCCTTTTGGAAACGCCGACGCAGCCAAGCATTACGGCGAAGTTTGGCCCAGGTGTTGGACCAGGTGTTCCCCCAGCTGTTGTTGAAACCCTTGGGGAAAACACTTGGGTGAGGAAGATGGGGGAGGAGCAGGATAGAGGGGGATGATGGTGATGATAACGAAGAGGCACATGAGATGATAAGGAGGGGGGAGGAGGCCTCTTGGAGGCATTTTGGGGCTTCCTGCGGGCTTTTGGAGGCCACTTGGGGCCATCTGGACTTCTTTTCGGGCAATCTTGGCCGTCTTGGAGGGCATCTTCGGTCGCCTCGGGGGCCATCCAGGGCCGTCCTGGCAGTCTTCGACGGCATGCTGGCCGTCCTGCAGGCCACATTGGACCATCTTAGCATGCTTGAATGCGATCTCTTACGTGTCTTAGGCCATCTTGGAGGCAACCTTATCCGTCCAGGAGGCCATCTTGGCCGTCGTGGAGGCCATCCCCAGCGTAGCCCACCCAGCCATGGTTCTGTTAATGCACCCGTGCGTATCCAGCTGCCTGCGGCAATTCCCGCCACCGTGGTGATGATGATGATGATGCTGATGATAATGATGATGATGATGGTGATGATGATGATGATGCTGATGATGATGATGATGATGCTGATGACGACGATGATTATGATGACGACGATGATGATGATGACGATGAAAATGATGGTGGTGATGATGGTGATGCTGATGATGATGATGACGATAACGATGACGAGGATGATGATGTTGATGATGATGACGACGATGCTGCTGACGACGCTGATGACGATGCTGATCATGATGATGATGGTGATGATGATGACGATGACGACGATGATGATGATGATGATGATACTGATGATGATGATGATGATGATGATGATGATGATGATGATGATGATGACGATGACGATGATGATGATGATGATGATGACGATGATGATGGTGGTGGTGGTGATGATGATGGCGACGATTATGATGATGATGATGATCGCCGGGACATCGCGGGAGGTTATGATGACGACGATTATGATGATGGTGATGATGATGATGCTGCTGATGATGATGATGTAGTTGGAGCAGTAGTAGTAGTAGTAGTAGTAGTAGTAGTAGTAGTAGTAGTAGTAGTAGTAGTAGTAGTAGTAGTAGTAGTAGTAGTAGTAGTAGTAGTAGTAGTAGTAGTAGTAGTAGTAGTAGTAGTCGTAGTAGTAGTAGTAGTATAGTAGTAGTAGTAGTAGTAGTAGTAGTAGTAGTAGTAGTAGTAGTAGTAGTAGTAGTAGTAGTAGTAGTAGTAGTAGTAGTAGTAGTAGTAGTAGTAGTAGTAGTAGTAGTAGTAGTAGTAGTGTAGTAGTAGTAGTAGTAGTAGTAGTAGTAGTAGTAGTAGTAGTAGTAGTGTCGTAGTAGTAGTAGTAGTAGTAGTAGTAGTAGTAGTAGTAGTAGTAGTAGTAGTAGTAGTAGTAGTAGTAGTAGTAGTGGGAGTGGGAGGCTTGCCGTTCCTGTTCCCGTTCGCGTTTCTTGGGTCGGCTAGAAGGCTTAGGGGGGGTAGACGGGCACGCGACCGTGCGGGAACGGAACGGGAACGGGAACGGGAACGGAACGGGAACGGGAACGAGAACGGGAACGGGAACGGGAACGGACCTATAGGGCGTTCTCGCCCTTTTACGGGGCTGCCCCGCTCGCCCTGCCCCCTCCTGCGCGCAGCCCGAGGGGAGGGGGGCGGGCAAGAAGTGTCCACGCCCATCGCGCCAAGATGACACGACATCGAACTGCGTCGAACAAGTATATCCACAGCCCCCGCCCCCACACTCCAGAAATTGACGGGGTTGGATGCGAGGCAGCGCGCGATGGGACAAGATATGGACACTTCAACTTTGGGTTTGGGGGTGAGGGGGGCGAGCCACGTGTACATTGCAATCGTCGTTGCCATCATGCCTGATTGTCTTCACGCCGTCGGCGTGGACACTTCTTGTCTGGGCACCGGAGGGGGGGGCAGCGAGGAGGGCGAAGGGAGAATGGCGAAGAGCTAGCGGACCGCCTTCTCGTAGCACGCGTTCCAGCTGTCCACGGTCTTCATCGGGTGGAAGACTCCGGCGGCAGGGTCGCCGCAGTCCAGCCCGTTGCATAGGTCGTCGCTGACGATGCTGAAGCGGTCCATGCCGATGGCGCCTAGGTTGTCCATGCAGTTCATCAAGAAGAGGTCTTCGCCCCAAGTTTTCCAGTCCAGCTGCCTGCATCTGTGGACGCCCTCGGCGTACTTCTTGACCGCCACCTTCGTGAGCGCCTCCATCGCCCCGAACATCATGTTCTTCATTCCGTTGTCCTTGTGGCACGTCTTCACGTATGCGAAGAGCTCCTCTCCCAGGTGAGTGTCCTCCGTCACCTTCGCCAGGGACGCCCGGAGCCGATCCGGGACAATGAGAGCATCCGGGTCAGTCTTGATCGTCCAGTCATGGCGCTGCCACTTGTTCAGGGCCAGAACCGCGTCCCACGCGTTGATGAAGAGCAGGGAGTTGCCAGCTGTGCCATCCTTCGACACTCCCACCTCGGCCTCCTCGATCGGCATCATCTCGCCCCCCAGCTCGTCGTCGAGCGTCCAGCCCTCGTCGTGGGTCATCATGGCCTGCTCCTCGCACGCGAATATGCCCGCCCGCTTCCTCAGCTGCTCCCGCATGATGTCCACCTCGTAGGTGCCCTTCGTCACGAGCAGCCAGCAGAAGAAGGTCAGGTCTTCGCTCCACTCTCTGGGCGTTGGGGCGCCCAGAGCCTCGCACTGATAGCAGCCCGCTCGGCACGTGGTCTTGTCGCCGTCCTTCAGGCACTGGAAGCCCTCCTCCTTGCAGCACTGGGTGCTGCTGCAGTCTGCGCCGGCGTCGGAGCACTTCTCCTCCACCCACGCCGCCTTGCTGCCGCCCTGCATCACGCGCACCTCCGGCTTGCCAGGCGTGCGTGGGCCGACCTCGTCGCAGGACCAGTTGCCGCCGTCCTCGCCATCGGCGGGGTCGGTGCCCTTGACGCACGCCCACTTGCACGAGGCGTACTTGCTGTCCTTCTTGTAGCACATGGCCCCGGCATCCATGCAGCACTTCTTGTCCATGCAGTTGCTGCCGAAGGCGGCGCACTTCGTCTTGACCCATGGGGCAGCCTTGATCTTTGGGGCAAGGCGCTCGAGAGCGTCCGCCTCTCTCATGGGCATCGGCGGCCCCAATGGCTTGCACGACCAACTCTTGTCGGTGCATGCGTCCTGACACGTCGCCCACTGTTCGTCGCGCTCGAAGCAAGTGGAGCCCGTGATCTTGCAGCACTTGGTCTGCCTGCAGTCGGAAAAATCCTCGGAGCACTCCTCTGACACCCACGGAGCGCGGCCCAGCCTCCTGGTGCCCAGCTCCTTGCAGGTCCACGGGTCGCTGTCCTTGTCCAACGGATCCATGACCTTGCTGCAGTTGGGCTTGCAGGTGGCGTAGCCAGCATCCTTCTGGTAGCACTGCAGGCCGATGTCGCGACAGCAGTGCGAGCTGATGCAGTTCTCGCCGTACGCGCTGCACTTCGGCGCCTTGCCCGGCGTGCGCTCGCCCAGCTTCTCGCACGTCCACGGCCTGCCGCCCTCGTCGGTGACGTGGCGGCCCTGGAAGCAGCCCGAGCGGCACACGGCCCAGGGCCCCGAGGCCAGGTGGCCCTGCATGTAGCACTGCTCCCCCGGCTGGCTGCAGCACTTGGTCTTGGTGCAGTCGTGGCCCGAGTCGCTGCAGTGGGCGTACGCGGGGTCCTGCGACTGACTACCTACCAGACCACCCCAACCCAACCCGAAGACCCGAATTTGACCCGAATTTCGGGTTGGGGGGGGGTACGGGTTCCATGTGTTTTTTCAACGTTCCCCGACCCCCCCCCACTGGAAATCGAGGGCAAATTGAGGCCTTCGGGTTGGGTTGGGGTGGTTTGGTGGGTGGAGAGGTCCTGCGACGGCCCCGCGGAGGCCTCCTCGTCGTCGCCGTCGTCCTCGGCAGCGTCCTCGGAGTCGGCGTCCGCGAAGTCAGCCTCGGAGTCGGCGTCCTCGGCCCTGCCGGGGTCCTCGTCGTCGGTGACGTCGGCCTGGGCGCCGACGTCGCCGCCGTCTTCTTCCGCCGTGCTGATCCTTCCTCCTCCTCCTCCTGCTCCTCCTGCTCCTCCTGCTCCTCCTGCTCCTCCTCCTCCTCCTCCTCCTCCTCCTCACCCGCTCGGCGCTCGCTTGCTGGCCTTCTTCTTCTCGGGAGGGCTCTCCATGAGCCTCTCGTCGGCGCCGCCGTCCGAGGCCCCCTTCTTGGCGGCGGGCGCGGGCTCCTCCTCGTCGCCGTCCTCCTCCCACTCGTCGTCGCCTTCGCCATCGCCCCAGTCGTCACCTGGAGGAGGAACAAAGACGTCACTCGCCGTCGCTCGGACGTCCATCTCCCGTGCATCTGTCGGTTTCGTGCGTGTTTTTTGTTTTGCTCGATGGCCCAGGATGGTCCTCGAGGGTCCTCGCCGAGGAAAAAATGCACACGCCCGAGCGATGCCAGGAAGACGTCATAAACAGAAACTCTCGGAGCTCCGCGGGTCGGCGCCGGGCCGGCCCCCCTCCCCGAGCCCGCGGAGCGCGCCGGGGGCCCAGCGCCGATCCGAGGAAGCCGCGCGGAGCTCTGACAGTCTGCACACGTGCACTCTCCCTGGCGTGAGCAGGGGCCGACCGTCCTGGCATTGCCGCAGGCCCACCACGAGCTGTCCGCGGAACCCCCGAACATGTTCGAAGAACGAGGCCAGTGCTCTCAAAACGTAGAAGGCCGATGTGGTGAGACAAAGCAGCCTCGGCCAGGCATGTCGTGAGAACGCTTCGTGCAGACCACAAGAGAGACTTCTAGAGCATTCGGTGGTGGGCCTCGGCCAGGCATGCTCTGAGAACACTCCGTGCAGACCGCGAGAGCTCCTCAGAACACTCGTTGCTGGGCCCATCGGCAAGCCGCGACGCCGCGCCACTGCTCGACCCCTTCCCCCTCGATCACCGTCTCCGTCCTCCCAGCCGTCGTCCTCCAAGCCGTCCTCGCCGAGCACGGTGGGCCGCACGCCGCGCCCCGTGGCGGCGCCGCGCACCTGCGCCGCCGCGCCCCGCCGCGCGACGCTGCCGCCCAGCGCGAGGCAGGCCACGAGCCCGGCGGCCAACGCCACGCCGGCGCCCTTCGAGAGGCGCCGCCCGCCGCTGGGCCGGGCGCCCGCCGGCGCGGAGAGCGGGCTCGAGGGCTCGCTGTCGGTGCCCTCGCCGGCGGTCGCGGGGAGCAGCGTGCGCGCCTCGCACGGGCTCTGCGCGGCCGCCATGCCCGGGGCCGCGGCGCGCGGTGGCGCGGAGGCCTGCGGCGGGTGCCTTCCTGGGAGCCCTCGGCTGCCACGCGACCGCGGGGAGGGGGAGGGGCGGGGAGTGCACCTCGTCAGCAGGCCGCTCACCCGCTCTCTTCCTGCTCGCGGACTCTGGGAAGAAAGTTGGCGTTCGCGTCGATCGTGCGCGCGCCGGCCCTCTGTGATTTTTGCATCGAGGCGGCCATCTCATTGCCCATGTGCACAAAGCCGCCACCGTGCCGCGAGGCACCGAGTGGACTGTTCTCGGGTCCTTGTCGAGCTCCCTCTGTGGGATAGTGGTGCTCTTGAGGGGCCCCAGACCCTTGAACTAAGCCTTGAACTCGCTATCGCTCGAACGTCCATTCTCCGGGCATTTTTTGGCTTCGTGCGTCTTTTTTCCCAGGATGATCCAGGATGCTCCTCAATGGCCCCCGCCGAGAAAAATGCACACGTCCGAGCGATACAAAGTGAATTCTGGCCGCGGACATGCGCTTCCAGGGTGTCCCACGTCGTTACGTGATTGTTCCAAGAATGCCCGCGAGCCCCACGACGGCCAGATACACCCCTGTTGCGAGAATTTGCTCATGTTGGCTACTTAGAGCGAGCCTGGCGAAAGTGGCGTGAGATGGCCTGGGGAGATCTTTGGTATGTGCATCTCTGGCGGAGTAGAACGATCCTGGCCTGCAAGTGGTCCGGCGAAGCTCCTCCCTGGGGTTCTTCAATGGGGGTGATTTCTTTACCCTGGTATGCAAATGGTCGGGACATATTTCCCAGTATTGTTTTTTTACAAGCAGAATGACTTCATCCTAAGGTGGATACATACTACGAACCACGCCAGGGAAGAGGACCTCAGAAGTCTCTCCGGCCCACGCTCGCCGAAGGCGATCGTGTTTAGAGTGTCTGAAGGGGGAAGGGGGGGCCGCTCGGAGTGGCCGTAGTTGACCGTGCCCACGATGAACAACATTCGTAACAGATGAGTGCAGGGAAGCTGGACAAAAATGAAGTTGGAAAGTCAGTGCAAGTGGAAGTGGCCAGGGCTAGAAAAACTGGCAGTGGGTGAAGCGAGCCCGAAGCAGTAGGGATGCGGTCACCAGGGCTGGAAAAGAAAGGGGAATTGGCCAGGACTGGAAAGAGTGGACGGGCTGGCCTGAGTCACTTGCCCAAGATGGCCTAAGACAGCCCAGAGGAGGCCCCCACGACGCTCAAAAAGAACCCCCATCCAGAGTTCCCCCCCATGAACCAATATCAACAAATTGTCTTTGGATTTTGCCATGCTCTCCCTGTTCAGGCTTCCAATAACCCAAGACCGCCCCAAGGCAGCCCCAGGGGCACTCAAGATGGCCCTAAGACGGCCCAGGAGGGCCCCAATACAACCCAAGAGGTCTCACAGACGACCCAAGACGCCTCCAAGATGAGGGAACTCGAACTGTCCAAGACGTCCCCTACAGACCCTCTGAGACTCCCAAGACGCCCCTACGAGGCCCCAAAGAGGCCCCCGAGAGGCCTCCAAGCGGCTCCCGAGAGGCATCCCAAGAGATTCCAAGAAGCATCCAGGACGCCCCAGAGACCGCAAGCAGGCCCTCAAGCCGCCCCTGAGAAGCCCCCACTAGCTCCAAGAGGCTCCCCAAACGCCCCCCAAAAGGACCCCAACATGCTCCAACAGTGCCTCCAAGAGTCCCCCGAGAGGCATCCCCAAAGACCCTTACATGCATCCAATGCGCCTCTGACCCACAACCCAGGCGCGATGGTGGAACAGGCTGACTGCCACTATTTTCGCCGCACGCTGTGCTTGCCACATGGGTGCCTGGCGTGCCGAATAGCTCACTGTTTTGAACCGCCCAGCATGCTCGCAATGGGGTCTCAGCCGATCCAACCAGCCACCCGGACGGCACCATGAGACGCCATAGGAGTCGGAACTCCCTTCCAAAAACCTCCACGACGGCCCAGTATGGCTTCAACGATGGTCCCAAGACACATTAAGTCGACCAAGATGGCCCAGAAAGAGCCCAATATTGCCCCGGTCTGTGTCTAAGACGGCCCAAGATGGACCCAAGATAGCCTCAAGATGCCTCGGAGACGCTCAGAGTCGCTCCAAGATGGCCGCTAGGAGGCCCTCAGTGGAAACAAATCATGGATGTTCTGGAATTGCCAGATTTACTTTAGAATTCTCTCCGTTTCGGGCTTCCTTCCGACGGCCCAAAACAGCACCAGAGGCCTCCAAGATGGTGCCCAGGCGGCCAAAGAAGCTTCCATGAGGGCCCGGGATGGGCAAAGAGGCCCCCAAGACGGTCCCACGACTGCCTCAAGGCGGCCCCAGATACCTCCAAGACGGCCCACACCCTCCCAAGACTGCCTCCGAAGAACAGGCGGCCCCTCATAGGCCCCCAGAAGCTCCTAAGAGGCCTCAGGAGACCCCAGAGAGGCCCTCGGATGCTCCCCCAAAGCCCCCAGGAAGCCCTCCGAAGGCCCCCAAGACGCCCTCAAGAGGCCGCCTCTTCCTGTTCTTCTTCCTCCTCATCCTCCTGCTCCACCTCCTTCTCCTCCCCCTCCCTCTCCTCCTCTCTTTCTCCCACAAGTGCCCCCCCAAGGCTTTCCACAGCGGCTCGGGAAACACATTGCCCAATAGCTTGTGGCAAGACTTCGGCCCGCAGTTTGGCCACAGTGGCGTTTCCCAAAGGCAGGGGGCGGCGGTGGTTCTCCGTGTCGTCTTCGATACTTGTTATCAGAACGCTTGCGGCGGCATGTGAGATCTTGGGACCCACAGGCAATGCCGTACACCTGCACGCTCTTTACCATTCGAATGCGCAGCAACTGATGTGCGGGAGAAAATATCCCCAGGCTGCCGGCGACCGCCGGTCTTCATATTTGTACACTATTGTACCAGGGGAACCACCCAATACAATGCTCACCACATCCGCACGGAGAGGGGGAACCAAATGTCCCGCCCATCATCGTTATGTACACTCCGGCAGAGCCCCTACGGAGAGCGGGAGCAAACTTCCAAACCTAGAGCCACGGGGATACTCCTTGCATTGGGTCGGGCATGTCCTCCTACAGGGGGATTTTGGACTAAAAATCAGACACGACCCAACATATTCAAACACAGTCAGACATGTTCAAACATCGTCCCCGATTTTTTTTTTTTTTTTTTTTTTTTTTTTTTTTTTTTTTTTTTTTTTTTTTTTTTTTTTTTTTTTTTTTTTTTTTTTTTTTTTTTTTTTTTTATTATTTTTTATTTTATTTTTTTTTTTAAAAAAAATATATGTAATATTATTTATTTATTTTTTTAATTTATAATTAAAACTATCTTTTAGAACCATTTTTGAATGTTCCTCCTGTAGAGGGAGAGGCCCGACTTAACCCTTGCATTGCCACATCGTGCCATCCACAGCTGGGTGAGCTGCGGTCCCGAATATGACCTCTCGAGAGGGCATGCGAAGCCGATGGCCTCCCGGGCGGCGGGGGGGTCAGGTCCGCAGCTCCCCCCCGGCTGCGGCTGGCCCGCATCTGCTGCACAGCAGGCTTGGCGGCACCGGGGGACACAGTCTACCACTGGCGCGCGCCGACCTGCCCGCCGCGCTCCTGGGCGCGACGATGGTCAGAGGAAGAGACAGCTGCACAGATATATGATCCCGGGCTCCGGGCCCACGGGCCCCCCCCCCGATGGTATGGTCCCAGGATTCCTCGGCCCCCCCCCCCCCAGATGGTATGGTCCCAGAGACGACGACGACGACGACGACGACGACGACGACGACGACGACGACGACGACGGCGACGACGGCGACGACGGCGACGACGACGACGACGACGACCACGACGACGACAACGACGGCTGCGGCGGCGACGACGCCGGCGGCGGCGGCGGCGACGACGACGATGACGACGATGACGACGGCGACGACGACGATGACGACGACGACGACGACGAGGACGACGAGGACGACGAGGACGACGACGACGACGACGACCTCTGAACCACCACAGCACCACACCACATCCACAGGGGGGGGAGGGGGGCACCGCAGCGCAGCACCACGCCACGCCCACCTCTGAACCACCACAGCACCACACCACATCCACAGGGGGGGAGGGGGGCACCGCAGCGCAGCACCACGCCACGCCCACAGGGGGGGGCGGGGGGGACCATCGCGCGGGGGGGGGGGGCCCAATGGCATCAGCATTGGGGGGGGGGGCCCAAGCCCTGGACCATATATACACTCCTGGAGCTCCGCGCGGATCTCCGAAAGTGTGTGCCTGTGCGATTGTCTCCCCCTCGAACGGTGGAAATCGGGGGCGCACTGGCCCGGGTCAGCACAGACCCGGGTCGGCACGGACCCTGTCGCGCAGCCCAGCCGGCCGCTGAGTTTTGGTGGCGCGCAGTACGGGAGTACAGTCGGGGCGTTGACCTAAGGAACCCTAAATAAGGAACGAGGCCCCTTTTTTCCACAAGTTAAACTTCGATTTCCCATCGAAAACATAAGGAAAACCTGAGGCAAGCTGTGAAACAATCAAGGAACACCGAGCCCCTCCCCAACGAAAAGGGTTCCTTCTTCAGCGCCCCGACTGTAGGGGGAGGGGGGGAGGCTCCTTGGAAGGAGGCTGGTTCCGAGAAGGTGCTGTCCCTACATCTACAGACAAGGCCCGCGCCTTCCAAGAAGCCAGGATGCTTCTAAGAGGGCTTCCCCCCTCCCCCTGCGGTAAGTTCGTGCGGCGTTGGTGCGTCGGCGACGCCGGCGAAGGCGTTCAAGATTGAATTCTGCGGCGCGGGAGCACCGACGGGATTCAACCTGGAACGATCGGGGTCGCGATCGATTCAGGGATGAACGATCAACGCGTTGTCATAAACCTTTGCGAGTGCCGACGACGCACTAGAGGGGAGAAACAAAAACGGCACAAATAAAAACTTTTGGAGGTCCCCACGGATTTCTTGGATCTGTGCAGGGGCCCCAGGGCCCCCTCCCTGGCGCGCGGAGCGCGCCAGGGGCGGCGCCGGAGGCGCCGCCAGGTGGTCCCAGCACAGATCCAAGAAATGCGCGCGGACCGCCAACAAAATATATTTATACCCTTTTTCCTTCTTCGACGCACGAACCTACCGTACCCTCCTGTGCGCGCCGTTAAGAAGGTGACCGAGCAGGAACCGACCATCCGGGCATTCCTATAGACCTGCCATGACATGTTCTTAGAACCCACACGTGTTCTAATACTATTATTATGAAAATCACTACTACTACTATTGATACTACTCATAAAACACCGTTCTTATAACAAAGCTCCGATGTGTGAAAACAAAAGACCATATCAGACAGAAATGTTATGATACTATTCCGTGCATGCCACACATAAGTTCTTAGAACATTATTTGGTGGGCCTATGGTTAGGTCGGGCATGTCCTCCCACAAACAGGTTTTGGACAAAACATAAAAAAGACGCAAGACATGCTCAGACAGAGTCCCACATTGTCGAACAATCGCCCCCGACGATTTCTTGACTACTCTGGAATACTCCTCCTGTAGAAGGACGCGCCCGACTTGAGCCTCTGGGCAGCCCGGGGCGCTTCGCCACTGCTCGGAAAGGGCTTCGGGGAGGCCCCCTGTGCTGGCCGACCGGGCGCGCGGCGGGGACGCCCTCGGCTCACGGGGGCGGCAGGCCCAGGTAACGGCGGCGCTGCCCGGCCATGAGCTGGCCGCAGAGCCGGCGCTGGTAGCGGAGCAGCGCCTCTGGGAGGCCTCCCGGGTGGGGTCGGAGTGGGCGGGGCCGGAGGATCGCGCCGCATCGCAGACACATCGGCGATGTGTCGGCGATGCATCGTCGACGTCGGCGATGTCTCAGCGACGTCAACGTGAAGCCGATCGGGCCGCACATCGAGCCGCATCGGCGACGCCTCGGCGATGCAGGGCGACCCTCCGACCCCACCTGCTCGGACCCCATCTGGGAGGCCTAGAGCCTCGTCCTGGCGCCGCGACTCGAGGAGGAGCATCTGCTCCACGGCGTCCTCTCCAGGGCCGCGCGGTTCCCTCCCCAGGCCCCTTCACGGTGTGACAGAAAAATATCACGACGGCACTGTCTTCGCCATTTTCGGCCTCCGGGGGCCCTTCCCAAGCCTCGGGGATGTCAAGAAACGACTCAAGATGAAAAACCGGTCCCGGGGAAGGGGTCCAGGCTTCTGGAGGTCGACGTTGTGAAAAAATCACGACGTCGGGGGTCTGGGTCATCGTCGCCCTCCTCAGAAGGAGATGTCCACTGCGATACTCTCTCTGTCATGCGGCTTTCCTTTCTGAGGGCGTCTGAGTGCGAATCAGTCCAAGTGCTAGACGGACTGAATCTGAGTGAGGATGTGTATCAGCGAGTCTAAGTGATAATGAATCTGAGTATGAGTGGGTCTGAGCGCGAGCGGGTCTGAGTATGTGTGGCCGAGTATGAGTGAGCCTGCGTATGGAAGGGCCCAGTATGAGTGAGTCTGAGTATGAGCGGGCCTGGGCATGTGCAGGACTCAACATGAGTGAGTCCGAGTGTGAGTTGGTATGGGGATGGGTTGAGAGAGCCACTGCTGCGTTGAGCCGCCATCGCCGCCGCCTCGCTGCTACGTAGCACAAGCACGGGCCCTGCATGAGGGCTTGGAGGATGATCGTGAGGAGTGTCAGAGAAAGGAAGCGGTGTCGGCCAGCGAGGGGGACCAGGGGGAACAAGGAATGGAAAACACACGTTCGTAATAAAGGACAAGGGTCTTGCTCAACTCGGGCGCCGGACTTAGCAAGCACGAGCCCCGAAGGGGTTCTGCGCTCAGAAATCTCCGCTGAGACAACGTAGTGGTGAGTCATTCACTAGCGCAGGATTTCAAATAGAGGGTAGAGGAGAGGGTCGGGAATAGTGCGGAGACAGGACAGACACATCTGGGCTGTCCTGTGGCTCTAAAATCAGACACGCGTGTCGCCTCAACAAACGGGCGCTTAACCGAGGGCTCCCGCAGGTCGTGGCGCGATCGGGCTCGTGAGATAGTTCCCCCCTGGCGGCTTCCCCTGGAGGGGCCCCAAATGCGATGCCTGCTGCGCCGCGGTAATCACGGGGCTCAGGAAACAAACGCGCGCGCCCCCCCAAACGGGCGTTCGGCTCGAGAGGTCCGGCAACCAGTGGCGCGAACGGGCCCGTGACGTGATATTATATCATATAAAAACAAGACATACGAATCACATAATTCGTCTATTTGTTTATCTGCATGTAAAGTTTTCATAACATCCCCGTGGTCGGACCCACCCAGCTCGGAAGGGCACCGCTCCGCGGCGCCCTCCCGCGCCAGCTCGGCAGGGGCGCGACACGCGGCAACCTCTGCGACCACTCGCGCCGCCGCCCCCGCGGACGAGGGCCACCTTCCCCGCGAGCCCCGGCCGCGAGGCCCGAGGCGCGGCCCAGCGCGTCCTGTGGCGCGACGGATACCGCGCCCTCGCGAACACCGTTTCGTCGGCGGCGAGGCACAGGCAGTCCGCACCAGCGTGGGGCTAATCGGGGCAACCGATGGGCAAACTGTCCAGCGTGCAGGAGACTGGAGGGCACCAGGGCGAGGGCGGTCGCGCGAGGGGAGGAGGGGGGAAGCGCTCAGCCGTGGAAGAGTTCAGCGAGCACAGCCATCAGCCAGACCTCCGGGCCCCGGCTCTGCGCGGGATCTCGTCGCTCGGGGTTGAGCCTGCGGCGCACGCCGTCCAGGCCAGGCCGTTCGCGCCTCCGTGGCGTCGCAGCGGCAAGCGATGGGGTCGGCGGAGGAGGGAGGAGGAGCGGAGCTGGGTCGGCGGAGGAGGGAGGGGGCGCTGGGTCTCGGCATGCGAGTCCCCGGCTCTGCGCGGGACTTCCCGAGCTGGAGACACCCGCGAGCTCCCCAGCGCGCGCGCGCGGGGGCTGGCAAGACGCGCGCCTGGCGTGTCCAGGCAGCTTCTGGGCCGCACCTCGGGCTCTTGCCATCCGCTCGGGGCGATTCTGGCAGGACACCCCAGAGGCTCGCCAATCTCGAAGGGACCCAGAGACACAGGTACACAAGTCCCAGGACTTCTCTCTTAAATTTCTACATATATATACACATATGTGTATGTATTTCTATGCATATATATACACATAGATGTATATATACATATAAATATAGGTATATCGATTATCCCCCCTTCTTCCCCCCACTTCCCATATTTTCACCTGTTTCCAGGGGGTCGACGATCGGTTGTGTCTGTGTGCTTCCTTCCGTCCTTAGATCTCCAGAAACATGAAGGCCGTCGTCTTCGCTAGATCTCCCACGTCGTGTCTTTCCTCAGCGTGCGCACTCCCAGGACCGAACCTTCACCGCGGGCCCTTTTCGAAGGATCCTTGGGCCCAACAAGAGCCACTCGGAAGTCTCACTGTGCCGACCTTGCAGACGTGCGGCAGCGGCTTTTTGCATCGATTTCTGCCCATGCAGAACCCCGAAACGGCGAGCGAAAGACGAAGTGAATTCCACGTGGATGTTTTGTAGTCTGCATTCCCGGCCAGAAGAAATCCGCGCGAAATTCACCTCGAAATCCGGAAGGAAACTCTCCAGGACAATCCGGGCCCATTGCAGTGTTAAGTCGGGCGTGTCCCTCTACATACAGGAGGTCAATTCAAAAATAGTCAAACAATAGTCCGGGGACAATTTTGTCGACTACGTTTGACCATTCGGAATATTTTTGACTATTCATGAGTTTTCCTCAGAAGCCCGCCTGTATGGGGGACATGCCCGACCTAGGCCCAGGTGTTTTCCGAGCGAGACCCGCTCTGCGATGTTGGCGCCAAGCTGCTGCCCACTGACTTCTCGGGGCGGGGGAAGTGTGTTGGGGGCCTCTGGGTGTTCCCGGAGGCCTTTCGGAGGTCTCTGGAAGCCTTCTGCTCCCGCTCTTGGGCCCATCTTGGGCCTGTTCTGGGGTGGTCTGGGGCTGTCCTGGACGCCTCTTCGGCAATCTTGGAGCCCTCTTGGCCTGTCTTGGGGCCGTCCTGAGGGTCTCTTGGGTGGTCTTGGGGCGGTCTTGGGAGCCTCGTCGGCGCTCTTGGACCGTTGGAAGCTCGAAAATGCGAGAAGCCAAAAACATGGGAACAAACCAATGCAAATCTACGATTTGGGCCTCTTCAGGCCGTCCCGGGACGCCCCTCGGACCTCTCTCGGGTCTCTTGGAGGCTCCCTGGGAGCCTCGAGAGCCGTCGGAAGGCTGACTTGGGCTGCTTGGGAGCGTTCTTGGGAGGAAGAGGGGGAGGAGGAGGAGGAGGAGGAGGAGGAGGAGGAGGAGGAGGAGGAGGAGGAGGAGGAGGAGGAGGAGGAGGAGGAGGAGTAGGAGGAGGAGGAGGAGGAGGAGGAGGAGGAGGAGGAGAGGAGCGGGGGCTCCTGGGAGGCGTCTCGGGCCCTCCTGGAGCGCTGAGGTCCCCTCGGAAAGCGCGGGGGGAGCGGCACTGGGAGCGTTCCCGAGATGCCACGGGGAGGATATGGCACCCGGGGCAACCGGGGCAGGGGGGGGGCTCTACTTGGGTGCCTCTTGGGGCGTCCTCAGGGCCTCGTTTGGTGTTTTCTTCGCGCCTCACGGGGGCCTCTTGGGGAGTGGGCGCTTCTTGGAGCCTCTTGGGGTCTCCTGGGGGTCTCGTCCCCGTCTTGGGCGCCGCCTTGGGGCGTTCTTGGGCGGCTTGGGCGCCTCGTGGGCCGTCTTGGCCCCCTCGTGGGCCGTCTTGGGGCCCTCTTGGGGGCATCCTCGACCGGGCAGCTGGGGAGGGGGGGGGCGACGACGCCGAAATAAAGTGGTCGGGGCGGAGCGGGCGGTGCGACGCCGAAGGGCACTGGGCAGCTGGGGGGGGGGGGGGGGCGACGACGCCGAAATGAAGTGGTCGGGGCGGAGGGGGCGGTGCGACGCCGAAGGGCACTGGGCCGCTGGGAGAGGGGGGGGGGCGACGACGCCGAAATAAAGTGGTCGGGGCGGAGGGGGCGGTGCGACGCCGAAGGGCACTGGGCAGCTGGGGAGGGGGGGGGCGACGACGCCGAAATAAAGTGGTCGGAGCGGAGGGGGCGGTGCGACGCCGAAGGGCGCTGGGCAGCTGGGGAGGGAGGGGGGGGCGACGACGCCGAAATAAAGTGGTCGGGGCGGAGGGGGCGGTGCGACGACGAAGGGCACTGGGCATCCGGGGGGGGGGGGCGACGACGCCGAAATAAAGTGGTCGGGGCGGAGGGGGCGGTGCGACGCCGAAGGGCCCTGGACGCAGTGGAAGCCCCAAAGGCGAACACGCCAAAAACATCACTTTCTCTTTAGGAGACCGACGATTTTTGCCCATCGGGGCTCTCTCGGGGTGCCTCTTGGGGCGTCTTCGGGGCCTTCGAGGGCCTTCTTGGCGTCATGGGTCGGGGATGGACGGACCCCCCTTTAGCAAAACATGGTTTAGTGAAAACGACCTCGGGCCCGAACCGGGCGGGCGCAAGCCTGGAAAATGACGGCCGCGGCGCCCTCTGGAGAACCGAAAACGGACAATTCACTAATTGACGTGTCAGGGGAGGAGGTCTGTCCACCCCCGAAAGGAGTCGTCTCGAAGGGCATCCAGAGCCATCGTCTGCGCGATTTCGAGCGTTCCGCGGGGCCATCTTCGGGCGGTGTTGGACGGCCCCTGGCGCTCCGGCAAGGCTCCGGGCGCGCCGGGCCCCACATCTGTGGTCGTGGTCCCGGCCCCCGGGCCCCGGCCCCCCGCAAAATGTAAACATGCATGCGTACGTGCATACACACATGCAAACATACATGCGTACACACAGACATGCATACAGACATACCTACGCGCCGGGGCCCGCGATGGTGGAACACAGCCTCCGCAAAGCACGGCGCCCACTCGGGGCCGAACACAGCGAAGAGACGTATCCTCATGGAGGCTCGAAGCCCGACAATGAGCCAAGGGAACATGGAATCCTGCAGCGCTTCCCGCGAGGCCAGTGCATGGGGAGAAAGCACCAGCATGGCCCGTGGGATCTGTCTGTCGTGCACCTGTGACATGCACCTTGGGAGCCCTTCGGGGGCTTCTGGCGACGTCTTGGGGGCCTCCGGGGCGCTTCTGACAGTCTCCTAGGCGCTTTTGGGGGCCGAAGGCTCGAAAGGTCCGTTCGGATTCCCTGTCTGGGGTCCTTCTTAGAGCCGTCTTGGGGCTATCTTGGACCGTCTTGGAGGCCTCTTGGGCTGCTTGGGTCCCTCTCGGGCTGTGTTGGGGCCGTCTTGGGAGCCTCTTGGGCCGTCTTTGGGCGATCTCGGGAGCCTCTTCGGCTATCTTGGAGCGTCGGGAAGCCGCAAAGGTGAGCACCACAACAAAATCAAAACCCACGAAAAAGCAACAACCATTTTTAGCCTCTTGTGGCCCTCTTGAAAAAGCCTCTTGGAGGCCTCTTGGGGCGTCTTGGAAGCCTCTTGGGCCGTCGAGGGATTATCTTGACTGTCTTGGACCGATCTTGTGGCGTCTCGGAGCCCTCATGGACATCTTGGGTGCTTCCTGGGGCCGTCTTGGAGGCCGTCTTGGAGGCCTCCTGGGCCGTCTGGAGGCCCCTTGGAAGCGCTAGGGCGGAGGTATAAAAAAGGGGGCCCGATGGTTTTGAGGTGGGCGGGGCCCCTGGGCTGGGGACCTGCTATTCATCCGTATTACATATTCTACGTATATATATATACATATATATATATATATGTATGTGTGTGTGTGTGTGTGTGGATATCTGCCCGCCCGTGCGCGCGGGCTGATGTCCACATCCACCACTCCTCGAGATTCCGAGGCCACGACTCCGAGGCGGCGGATATGGACATACGGTCGGGAATTTTGCTTAGCGTGTCGCGGCGGCGGCCCAGGCGACATGCTACGCGTTGCGAGGGGACAGCGTGTCGCTCCGCTCCGCGGGGCGGGAACCTCGGAAAAAAACTCGGGACGCTGACGCCTGGGGACCGCGCAGTGGATCCCGTGTCGCGCCGAAGCGTGGTGGGTCAGAACCGGCGGAGCGACACGCGATCCAAAAAATCCCGACCGCATCCCGGCGGTGGGCCCTGAGATCCGACGTTGCGGGACAACTTGCAACACCGCGAAGCATCACGGCCGGAGCCCCCGACCCCCCATGTCTCTGCGGCGCTTGCAGGCCGGGTCGAACTGCGAGGGTGCGGGTGCCCGAAGCGAGGCTGAGAATCGCCCGCGGCGAACAAAAATGCAGCGCGAGGACCTCAGGGGACTCTCTGCCTCTTCGAGGGGGGGGAAGGAACTGTGAGGGTGCGGGTGCCCGAAACGAGGCTGATAATCGCCCGCTGCGAACAAAAATGCAGCGCGAGGACCTCAGGGGACTCTCTGCCTGTTCGATCGGGTCGGGCGAAAGGGGGGGATAGCAAAGGGGGGGTTTGAGAATCAGCTCACGTAGCTGATTTCCCCGGCGCCTCCCGGCGCCGGAGGCGCCCATGTATCGAGGAATGGGCCCCTCGGTGAAGCCGAAACCAGCTGCATGCAGCAAATTTCGTACCCCCCCCTTTCCCAATCCCCCGCTTTCGCCCGGCCCGACTCAGGGGGCTCTCTGCCTCTTCGAGGGGGGGGGGGAAGGGGGCGTCCTTCAAGGTCAGCTCGGCGGCGGGCCGCTGCACGTGGGCGGCGGCCGTGCCCGCGCCGGTGGCGAGGACCTCCGTTCGGAAGGGGGGCCGCCGGGCACTGCGGAGGCCCGGCCTTCGCTGGAGGCGGTTCGCAGGCACCGCAGGGAGGAGGGGGCGGAGGAGGAGGGGGAGGAGGGGGAGGAGGGGAGGAGGAGGAGGAGGAGGAGGAGGAGGCGGAGGGAGGAGGAGGAGGAGGGGAGGAGGAGGGGGAGGAGGAGGAGAAGGAGGAGGAGGAGGAGGCGGAGGAGAAGGAGGAGGAGGGGGAGGAGGATGAGGAGGAGGAGGGGGAGGAGGGCGAGGAGGAGGAAGAGTAGGAGGAGGAGGAGGAGGAGGAGGAGGAGGAGGAGGAGGAGGAGGAGGAGGAGGAAGAGGCGAGAGGTGCAGCACCTACTGTGAAGTAGTGGTGGTGCTGTCACACCTCTGTGGGCAGGACATGTGGAACTGGGTATGACGGAGCATGTTGGGTCTCCGTCTTTAGGACTTCCTCGAAAGTGACCGATTATGTGAGCAACGCATCCTTCATGACTGCCTGTTGGTCGTGCGTTAAGTGGTGTCGATAAGGTAGTGGTCGCTCAAATAATCTTAGTGGGACCCCTCCTCGATGGTGGGTCGCCTCCCTCCGTCATGTGCGGAATCGTCGGGGCGTGTGTGAGCTTCCGAAGGGCCGGCGCTGCTTCCCCGAATGTCTACTACTTGGAGCTCATCTTCCACGAGATCTCCGAAGCAGCGTCCAGCTATCTCTTCAAGTATGAAGAAGAGATCGCACATGTGGCTGTGGTGCGTACCTAGGAGCTAGACAAGGCTTTATCTGCCAGCCTCGAAGCTCCACTAAAGTGTCCACTTCGCGATGTCCCGGTCGCCACCATGCCAAGAGTGAACCGTCTCTGCTGTCTTCAGTCACGATCCACTCGAGGTCGCGGCCGCTTCGGATGGTTGCGACACTGTTGAAATTGAACACGCTTCTGGCTAAGTGCTCGAGGCTCAAGGCCACAGATCACTTGTTGGTGGTGACAGTCATATAGCTCCGAGGCGGCATATGTGTTCGGCGCCTCGGTAGTCGATGGTCGCGGTGCCTTGTTGGGCACTCGTCTCGACGACTGTAGCTGGACGTCTCCGCTCGCTCACAGCTTTGGTTGATGGAGCTCGGTAGAAAATCGACCAACTCACCTGGCTTGTAGTCCAGGGTCTGGCCTGCGACTGTGTTCGTCTTGGATGCTCGGTTGATGCGATATATCTATATGTGTATATCTACATATACATGTATATATCGCCGAGGCTCTTACGATTCGTAGCAGTGTGATCCCTCTTAGCTGGTGTGAGTTGCGGGCCGCGCCTGCTGTGTCATCCGGGAGTGCCAACGTGCCCGGCAACGTCCGCGGTTGCCGTCCGAATCGAACGCTGCGTTGTGTTGCGCCTTCATAAGACATGAGAGGCTGTCTGCAAACGCGACCTCATATAGTAGGTCGGGCATGCTGGCTCCCAGTCCTTCGCACCGAACCTGTTCTTCAATGCAATGCATGGCGTGTCGTCGGATCGCACCGCGTCGTTCGATCATCTGGGCACGCTGGTTGGGGGCTCGTACTCGGACCGCGAGGCCGTGTCGATTGAAGAACAGCTTGGCTGCGGCGCCAGGGATGCCACGTTCGCCATCTACTATCAGTGTCTTGAACGGTCCGAAGATCGAGATCCAACGCGCTAGGATGGCGGAGTACGAGCTCTCTGAGGAACGGTGTCCAGCACCGCTGCCGCCGCCTTCGAGACGCTCTGCTGCGTGCCATTGGTCGGCACTCGCGATCATGTGCCAGATCGGGTACTGGCGGTAGAAGAAGATATCCCCGTCTGCGTCCTGATCGGGAGCCGCGGCCAGCTCGACAGAGGACGTGATTTGCGACGCGTTGCTGGCACGAGCCCTGAACTCGCGGCATGCGTCTACCATGCAGGCGATGACTTCGACGACTCTACTCGGGCACCGGGCTGCTCTTAGTATTTTTTCCATCTGAGTCCGTGTAGAATGCCGCCAGCGAGTGCGTAGCTTACGGATCTCGCGGCGCACGTGCGATGCATCCCCAGTTCGTAGCATGCGCGAGCTCTGAGTGGCGTCGAAGCTGGCCCCGTCTTCTGGTGCGTGGCCCGTCGCGGGGCCCACGACTCGAGGTTGCGGCCGAGGGGCTCTGGGAGCTCTGGGCGCTGACGGGTCAGGCGGATGTGGCGGTTCGTCGCCATGCAAGTGATCGTCGCTGATTGGAGCTGGCGGTGCCGGGTCGTCGGTGGGGCCTCGGTCCTGAGGCGGCCCATCGGTGTTGGGACTCACCTGTGAACCGAGGATTCCTGCCGCGGGATCTCGAGACTGCTGCGCTCGGGCCTCGCGCGTAGAGGTTCTGCGTTGGCGAGTGCGGCGCTCCCGGATAAACCCGTGTGGTTCGCCGCGCAAGCGGCATTGGCCTGGCCGCCAGGCGTGGTCACGGTGCGCTCTATCTTGTGGCGGGTCTCGCGTGCATCCTGGACAAGAATAAAGTGATGCGGCTCCTGGAAAGATGGCGCAATTTCCGGGGGTCTTCATGTGACGTGGATCTGGATGGCTGCGACTGCCGCGGCAGCAGGATACCGTTTAGCGTTTGGTGTGTTGGCTGCTTGCTTGGCAGCTGGTGCGATGACAGCTGGTGCGATGGGCGCCCCAGTCGCCTTCAGTCGGACACGGGGCTTGCCTGTTGTTGTAGGCGTGGCTACTGTTGCTGGTGCTGGTGCTGGTGGTGCGTCGGCTTCTTCCAAGCGTTCAAATTTCTGGTGTGCCTCTGGGCTGGTGTGGGCTCCTGTGGCCGGGTAAAGCTCTGACATCAGTGTGAGGGGGCTTTCCGCCACGGCTTTGAGAATGGCGGCGCCTTGCACAACGCGCTCAGCTAAGCGCCATGGCCAGACCTGGAGTGTCTTGGCATGATGGCTGCGGCCCCACTTGACATCGTGGTCGCGGCGGCCGCGGCACCTCGAGTTCCTGCGGGGCGCTGGCAGGCGTAGTGGCTTGGCTATAATTACGGACGGCATCTTAGCTGAGAGGTCGCGTGGTCCTCTGGCTGCCAGACAACATTCGTCAAACACAACCGCGTCCACATAGTGATCTGTAGCCACTTGTTCCCACGGCGGTGCCGTATTGAGCCAAGCAGGGCTCGATTGATCAACGAATAAATCTCATCCGTGGTGTAACTGTGCCAACGCAACTTGCCCACATAAGGAGATTCGTGGCGCATCCATCCTCCGTGTAGTGTGACCGCCGCGTCTCATGGCTGATACGGTCATTGAAACCACTCGCCGGCCCCGTACTGCGGCAAGACGGCAACGCAACCGTCGCCAGTCCAGTACATTGTTGGACTTGAAGTGCTGCAGGTCTTGTTGGATATTAGGGCCGCCCAAATCACAACCGGTAGCCGAGTCAAAGCTGTCTCCTGTATCGCGTTGTCGTCGAATTGCGATCTGTGAGGTGCGGGCTTCGCTGCCGCACTGCTCGCGAAGGTCCGTGCCGGGTCCGAAGGCGCGGATCGTTGCCAGGGCATGCGAAACGTCTGTGGCCTGGATGGTGGACACTGGGGACGCGGCGTGATGACCAACTACGGTCCCTGCTGCGTACCTTTCCGCCACATGCTCACCGACTGAGAGGTTTTGGCGCGTCTTATGGTTGTGTCCTGGAACAATCGTTTAAGCTGCTCCTCCGTGCAAAGGCCAGAGAGATCGTCCCCGATGTCGTCGAATGTGTTTGTTTCTCATCTTGGGGCGGGAGACTGGCACATGACCCTGTTTCTCGTGTGCCTTCGTGCGTTCTGCCTCCTCGGCAGGGAAGGCAAGCGACCGGGCACCTGGTTGACAGGGAAAGGTTCTGCCTGTCCATTCGCATGACAAGACCTCATGCGCAGTGGATCGCTGTCTCCAGCTTGAGGTGTTAACGACGAGACTGCCTGGCTCGTGTTGGGGGTTGATGTAGGTTGTCCTGTCATCTGCTAGTGGGGCAAGAGAAGAAACCGGGCATGAGGTCTTGGCCGGTGTAAAGAAGGCCTTCCGAAGCAACGCGTGGACTCGAGTCGCGGTGCTCTTGCTGAGGTCGGAGATCCAATAATTTTCGTAGCAAGATTGATATCATCATCTGAATCAACATTTGCAGCTTCACGTACTTAACCGGACTTCGTCGTCATGCACTCCAAACTTCTACACATACGTTTTCTAATGAGAATTCGAGACCCACCTTCGCTGAGTTTCTTAACCTCTTGCGAGAGCCAGCTTTGCAAGCAAATTTTCTTAGCGCAACCTCAGGTGTAATCTCTGGAGGAAGATATGAAGGACAATCTGGAGGAATATTTGGAGGGAGCTCCATTGCGAGATCTGGAGGATGATCTGGAAGAAGATCTGGAGGAAGACCTGGAAGAAAATCTTGGGAAGATCCATCGGCTGTCCGAATCCCCGAGCTGAGGGCGTGCCGACGGCCCCAGGATGGCCCAAATATGGCCTCACGACGGCCCGAAATGAACTCAGGGTTGCCTCAGGATGGCCTAGGATGGCCCCAAGAACGCCCAATATTTCGTCTGGACTGCTCCAAGGCCCCCCAATGCGTCACAAATGGGCTCCAAGAGGCCCTCTGGAGAGCATCGGTCAGCAAAACTCAGTAATCGTCTTTCAATGCTTGAAGGTTTGTGGCATTATCGCCGTCGCGGGCTTCTGACACGCTAAGACGGCCCACGATTTCAAGAAAACTTAAGACGGCCCACGAGGCCACCAACAGGCCCCAAGACTGCCGAAGAGAGCCCGAATATTGCCCAAGAGACCCCCAACTCGGCCCCAATGTTGCCCCCAGATCGCGCCCGAGAAGCCAGGAACGCCTGCAACGGCCCAAAATCGGCCAAGCCACCACGAAGCCCCCAAGACCGGAGGGAGATCTGGGGGAAGACCTGGGTGAAGATCTGGTGCAAGACCCGGGGGGGGGAACGGAGAAGATCTGGGGGAAGACCTGGGGGAAGACCAGGGGGGATATCTGAGGGGGGGATCACGGG